TTTCATACGGATGTGGCACTAAATTTGCCATTGTCATGAGGCCAAATAAGTATATCTGAAGAGTTGTTCCTGATTGGAATAGCTATGATAGTCGGCCAAAGTGATAACATTTCGGGAGAAATAGGATTAGGGAGACACCAGGTACCGTTAGCAATGAACTCGGAAACCTTCCAATCTTTGGGAGCCCCAAGATCTTTTCGTATTCTGTCGCCATATAATTGAAATATACTCTTCCCATTCACCCAAGGATCGTACCACATATTAGTACTAGTTCCAGAAGAGATTTCTTATGCAATACCCTGGTGAAGCTATCGCCTATACAAGAGTGGTAACTAGAGATTAAAAACGAATCGAGTGGTTAGACCGGATAAGCAAATGGTCTGGTTCATTTATTGGATCGGTTATGTTAAAAACTTGAATAAACCAGTTGACCTGGTCGGTATTTAGATAATTCGAACTAATTTTATGATATGGCTTACCCTTAACTTAAATTTTTCTTATTATTTATTTTAGAAGTTATTTAACATCTCCCCATGTTAAGTTATCATCTTCAAATACAAGCTCGTCTTCGATATCTTATAAGTTTGCACTCATTTCTCCCACCAACCACTCATTTGAATCATCAATGTCTTGTAATGAGATTGGATCAATTCTATTTCGCAAATCATAACGAGCCTTCAAAGCTTGATAATACTTTGTATAAATAAGATCGTGTAATCGTTGATGCTCCAATTGATTTCTTCTCTTTGAGTGAATATATCATGTCATATAATTTAAAAATATATTAATACATCTATATAAAAAAAATAAATTAAATATTTTATAATCCTTACATGCTCAAAAGCACTCTAGTTTCACTCACAACCCATAATACTACATGTGAAACTAAATATTTTGATAGCAAATTATTGCAAGTTCGATATGAAATTTCCAAATAGGTTTCACCATTCAGTTGTAAAATTTATTTTATTATTAGTAATAACATAATAACATACTATAGATGAAATTAATTATATCAAATTATTAATACCTAGAGATGTAGTTGTCTTGGATCGAATTGCCATTGGAATTCCAAAAAGACCATCGACATTCTTATAAAAAGATAATTCATGAATAATCTTATCTTGCACTTCAAGGCTTGGAACTAATCTTGCAATGCACTGATATAACCGATTCATAACTTCTCCATCAAACCCAACGGATATGATCTTATAAAAGAATTCTGGATTCAAATAATATCATGTTGTATGTAAACGACGATGAAGCTGACAATTCCATCCTTCGTCAATGATTACAATTTTTTTTTTATTTCCATTAAATAACTTTTGAATCGTCTCCTTTGCTCTATCCATAGCCTTATAAATATATCTCATTGTAGACTTATTTTCATTATCCGCCAACCGAAGAACTCGAACAAGAGGGTCCATTACCTTTTATATATAAACTACAAGATTCCAAAAAGACGACATTAAGATGATATCACTAGCCCCCTTGCCTTTTGATTATTTTGCCAATTTGTTTATTACCCATTTCTCCGAGGTAAATATGTTTCTTAGGTTATGTTTTTTACGATGCACGCTCTATAATGTTAAGAAGGAAGTAGCAAATTGGGTGATATCATACCTCACCAATTCCTTGTTGTTGTGAATCCTATCATCAAATTCAAAGCCCCAGAATGATTATAAAGAAATCCAACAACAAAGATTTCTCTTTCTAAAGTTTTCTTGATTTTAGAAATCTTTTCAATATTCTCCAACATTAAATCAATACAATGTACCATACATTGAGTTCAATATAAGTGTTTTCTTTTTGTTTCAAATAATTGACCTAAGACAAAGGATAACAAAAATGATATGTCCTTCAAGAAAAATTAGCCAATTCTCCATTTAGTAAAACTGTAGAGAGAACCACTGAGTTGCTAGAACTCATATATACTGATGTATGCCAACTCAACTCATATGCGGTTATTCATGCTTCATTGCATTTACTGATGATTTCTTTAGGTATGGACATGTGTAATTAATGAAGTACAAGTCCGTAGCCTTCGAGAAATTCAAGGAACACAAGAATGAGGTAAAAAACCAGACTGAAAATAGTATCAAAACTCTTCGATCAAATCGAAGAGGAAAGTACTTGAGTCCAGAGTTCACCTAATTCCTCAAAGACCATGGGATTCTATCTTAATGGACCCTTCCTTATACACCTCAACTCAATGGTGTAT